ATCTATAAATAATAACTGCAAGATAATTAATATATATGTACACCTACAGAAGAGAGAAAGCGTTTAGAAATTTAATTAAGTTTTTGTCTTGTTGATCGTGAAGATTGTTGTACATTTTTTTGTTTTGATACCTTACTTGCTTTTGCTTCAGCTTTTTTTCTTAAATCTTGAAGAAGAGTACCGCTAGTAATCACTTCGCCGAATTGACGTTCAGCTCGTATTCGAGGATTTTGTTTAGGTGGTACAGATGAGGCTGATTCCTTTTGAATTTATGAATGAGCAGATACAATTGATCGGAACGCAGATATTGGACTCATATTACTATTGGCACGTGATGATTGATTCGTTGAGTTTGAATTATTTCGAAGAGATGTTGAATTTAAATCATCATTAGAATCTAGAATATATTAACAAATAGAATGAGTGAAATTTGTTAATAAAACTTAGACCTTCATTCGATTCCTTACTATTTGATGTTGTTGTATGTTGACGAGATGTACGATCAATAGATTCATCTAAGTCACTAAATCACAAAAGAAGCTATATGTATATGAAAAATATATTAGTCTCAGTTAATTTGATACCATTCATCACTTTCTTCGTCGTCAAAAGTTGTTTGATTATTTGATGTTGATGATGTTCGTGTAGCACTGTAAATAAAAATGGTAAAATATGAGAAATAGTTGTAAGTTTAATCATATTAAAGTAGCGATTGTTCCAAAGAACAGTGTTTACTCAAGAACACAATTTGAGAAGACAATGAAAAACCTAGCAAGAAAGAAGAACTATTCATGATCGTCTTAAGCATAGGTATAAGAAAAATTGATACAAATATATACATTTGACATAAGATTTTATAAGACGATATCTGATATAAATGTAACGAGATATGAAGCAAAAACTAGATTTTACAAAGTCAATATATCTTAGAGGGTTTAACTTTTTGGAAACGGTCACACATTGGAAATAAGTGTATGTGGTAGTGAATGGATAGATAAAAGCATTCTCATGATATCATATTGAATTCTATGGTTTGAGTTTACATGCTCATCAGTCGAAAGGTTGAAATTATTTAAACCTACTAACTTTACAAAAACGTCATTTGAATCTGGTAAATCATCATTTTCAATTTCACTACCATCAGCATCACTTGTTCGTGTTTCATTTGTCAAAAAAGATAAAATATCGATTGTTGATGACCTAAAATAAATCCATTTAAGTAAGAAATGGTGTTATTATGACTTACGTGGTGATGGAATTGCTGTTTGATGAACGAGGATGAACGACATAGTCTTTCATTGCTTCCATATTGTGAGGCCATATACCTGATCTTCGAAAGCCGCCTGATACGGCATTCACAGAAAATGAACTTGTAAAAAGTTTATCCAATAACTGAGGAAAATCAATTTTCCTAATTGTTCTTCGGCCAGTGTCTTGAATGTAATTTGAAACTATAGATTTCCACTTCTTTTTTGCAACACTAAAGTTATATCCATAACAGTTGAATAAGAAACAAAGTTGAAAAATCTCACTGATATTATGATTAGCTCCTTTTTATTCGGAACGTTGTTTCGAGAAACTGCTTCTCAATATGTAGTCATACAGATATATGTTTTTAAATTTCCCTATAGCTAAATATTCGTCCATAGTCATTTGTATCTATTAAGTTTTTTATGTGACTTTTGAAGAATTTTAAAGTCTATCAAAATCTTTGTTGTCGACAGGTTTTTATTAAAAATTTTAGCGTTTTTTTCTTTCGTTATTTTGCTGAAGCAACGATTAATTCCGAACAAAATAAGTGATGCAAAATATATTTAAATATACGGGCTAGGTGTTACATGTAAACTAACAAATCAAAAGAAGTGTCTTGTACTACATGAGTGCACACTTATCAAAAGTTTATTCTCTCAAAAAATGTTCTCAGTTATTTCTCTTGCATCACTCGAATATTCTTTTCAATTTAAAGAAGATATTTCTACTATACTGCGTTGTTTAATGATGCAGGCTAACGTGGCCACCATGTCGTTAAAATAATTATGTAGGGGAAAAATAAAAATCTTAGCAGTTTTGAATTTTA